AATAAAATTTATCTGTATTACAAGGATTTTCTCAAAATAGCAAGAATTGTAAGAAAACAAGAATCTTGCCAAAATGGCAAGAAACAAGAATCATGCCAGAAAAGCAAGAAACAAGAATCATGTAAGAATTGCAAGAACACAAGAATCAGGCAAGAATACAAGAACACAAGAATCTTGCCTGGCGGGACATTTCTTGCCTCGCCAGCCAAGATTGTGTCTACACGAATCTTGCCAGAAAGTCAAGATCTGTTTTTTCAGACAAGAATCTTGTACAGAAGGAATGGCAAAAGAATCTTGTCTGATATTCAAGAAAAACAAGAACCTGGACAGATCGAAGTCAAGATCGTCGACTAGTGAAGAATCTCTTTCTAGCGGTTTGTTTGATTGAATATTCATATAAAGCTTTAGAGAAATTTTCTTTTCTAGCTGTCGCTATACTGAGAGAAAGTCTTCCATTTGAATACATAGCATGTGGGAACCAAATGAGAAGCAATATTGAATATGAACTTCAAGTAGCCGAAAAACAGAGAGAAATTGGATATAAACCAGTACATGATTCAGCATCATTTAAGTGAAGATTTTTTTACAAATGAATCCTTGCACTATTTATTTCTTTATAGAATCCCTGAAGAACATCGAGAGAAAATAGACGAATGGTTAAAAATAGATTTTCAAATGCGCATTGATGAACATATTACTCGATCAAGATGTTTATTCTTGGTTGGACCAACTCAGCACGGTATCTAACTTGAACCACTTTAATTTATTGGATCTATTCAAATTTTACATAGGCAAAAGATCATGGGCACGCAGCCTAGGAAAGCATATTAGCTTTGTCATTAACTTCTCTCTTCGAGTTTGATGATTCTTTTTTTCTTCTTAATCAAAATAATAATTTTATTTAGGCATGGCGTGATGATGTCAAATACATCATACTTGATGATATACCTTGGACAGATATTAGTCCAATTGCGAAAGGTCTTCTCGTTGCTCCTGGCAACGTAAATCTAACAGGTCAGGTTTTATCTTAATACTTACTTAAAATGTGATGTTTTTTTTATAATAGATAAATATATGTCTAAAATGAACGTCAAGAACAATAAACCATGTATTGTTTGCATCAATGACGATGAAGGAGAGAGAATACTACACTCTGATACAGGTGATTATTGGAAAGAAAATGGTGTTTGGATTCCTCTAAGAAGAGGACAGAAAATGTTTTGATCAAAAAGGTTATCATGGTAGCAATTGTACAATTATTTCAACAGCTTATTCTTTTTTGTGTTTTCCATAAATAATCGTTATAATATGTTGTGTAGTTATCTCATATATCATATTGCTATTTCAATAGCTTATTTGTTTGATGTGTTTTTATTAGATGATGCATACTTGTTAAACAATTGTATCTGAAAAAATATCTATTCAATCATCTCAGTTCTATGTTTACTGAAGTTTTGAATATGTCGTTTATTTATTTGATAAAAAGCGATTAATCTGTTGGCTACTGTCTTCTTCCTGTTGAAAAGACGCAGAATGCAAGGGAATTTTGTTCGTTCTTTCGCGTCGGCAAACATGCGTGGAACGAAGATCAAATGAAAAGCGAACATTTTGATAGAAAGAACCTAGCACGTGCATACATCTGGTCAATAACATTAGAACACAAGTGAGAGCGTTCTTTTTTTAATTGCTTGATATTCCCGCAGACTGAAACAAACTATCACTCTTCAATAGGTCAATCATATGAAATATCAACCGGTCAAAACAAAATCGATTAAAAATGTGATTTTTTTATAATGATATCTCTCGATTGCGATGCATATGCATATAAATGTTTGCGTATGATAGAGCTAAAAGAAACAGAGTGTTCACAGACATGGGCACATGATGACTAATAAAAAATAACAAATCTATTCAAAAGAAATTAAATAATAAATAATTTAACTTTTGATAGAATCAAAATAGACTATAAAATTCAAAAGCTGGGATCAGATCAATGCATTTATGTATTTTCTTAATCAATTTTTACTTCATTCTCTCCAAAAGTTTCATTTTCTTCAATTGCGCTTTTATTTTCGGGAAAATGGAGCAGCTTACTTTTATTCGAATAGAACAAATGAAAATATATTGTCTTAATTGTTTCATCAATGCAAATACATTAGCATGCTTATATATTGTGCTACTACAATAAAAAAAATACTACATACAGTGAGATAGCATAAAGCAATAAGCAAATAGTATAAATTAGCTGCATGAAATGTGATCAAGTTTCCAAAAAACGTTTTAAAAATTGACTTTTCGGTAATATCCATTCATTATTTTAATTTTTGGTCAACAATCTGTTATTATAGTCATTCTAATTGAGGATCATTTACTCAAAGAATTTATTCATGTACTACGTGCACATCTCATATGTGACGGGAAAAAAATGCTGTTTAATAATAATAATCTCTATAGATAAGGAAATTAAAATTATAAGCACATATTTATAGATATTGATATATGAGAGACTACCGTTTATTTATACCTATAAAACTAAAATAAATATCTTACCATACACTGCAAATACTTTTGTTGAGCCACTCTTTGATGATTTTTAAATAAAATTCCATTTGTTATTTTTTTTTATTCGGTGATACAACGAAACTACTTGAAATAAATTTTTTATTTTATTATATTTTAATGATATTATTCATTAGTTTCAATGTTACATATGACATAAAAAATATACGGGTTACTCTAAGTAATCACATAGTGATATAAAATGAAGACTCCTATCAAGATGTTCGTTTGACTAAAGAATAGATTCATTAATTTTTTTAAAGCTTTTCTTTTCGTATCATACATTGTCAAAATAAAGACATATTGGATTCGACATCTACTTGAGTCAATCAGTTGATCACTATCCTTTTCTGGGAAACAGCGTTATCTATAACAGTAAC